TTATAATTTAAAAAAATAATAATAAACGATATATATATAAACATTTTATTTTTATTATTTTATTATATTAATATTATATTAATAAATATTATAATATAAAATAATAAACGGATAAATAAATAAAATATATATAATTTTAAATACCGGAAATATAAAAATATATTATTATTAATTTTTTACATATAAATTTATTATATAAATATATATATATATTAATTAATTAAATACTTAAATAATTAATTAAAAATTCATTAATTTATTATATTATATTAAGAATTAATATATTAATTAATTTAATATTTAATCAATTAAAAACTTTTTTTTATATTTATATTTATTTAATATTATATATTATAATATAAAACTATATATTAATATTAATATTTAAAATAATTAAATTATTTTTTAAATATATCGGAATAAAAAATAAAAATATATATTAAAATATTATTATTAATATATTTATTATTAATAACGTTAATTACGTTAATATTAAAATTATTATTAAATAAAAATAAAAAAAAATATATATTTATTTAAGTTATAAGTTAAAAGTCGTCCCCGAGGTTTTTTATTATTTAATTAATTATTATTATTATTAAAACTTTTTTTTTTATCGGTTAAATATATTATACGTTTTTTATTAATAAAAAAACTTAATAATATTTATTATTAATAAATTAAAAATTTTACGTAAAATTATCGTTAAAAATTAATTTAAATAATTAAATTTAAAAATTTAATTTAATTAATTTATATATTATTTTAAGTTTTTTATTAATAACATTTAATTCGCGTATATAAATTTTAAAATTTACGCGGCGGGTTATGAAAAATTATAAAGTTAATATATTAAAAATAATCCATGTAAATTAAGTAAATAAAAATTTATAAAAAAAATTATAAAATGTATAATATTTACGGTTATATTAATATTTATGCTTAAAAAAATAAATAATTCGGAATGTAATAAATGAAATATTAATTTATGTTTACTTTTTATAAATTTAAAAAATAAAATAAATTTTTTTTAATCGAATATATAATTAATATTAAAACGAAATATTATATTATTCGTTAAATCATTTATTAACGGGAAGTTAAAATTTTTATAATTATATTAATTTATATTATTTATATTAAATTAAATCGCGTAAATTTTAAAAATAATATAAGTTTATTAAATACCGTAATATATTTATATTATTTAATAATATTTATTACGATAATATACGGTATTATAAATTAATTTTAATATTATATAAATTTTAAAAATTAAAAACGGGGAAATAATAAACGATTATTAAAAATAAAATAAATTTTTATAAAAAAATAATTAATGGCTAAAAATTAATGTAACCGTATATTATGTTAATTTTATTTTAAAAAAATTAATAATAAATATATAAATTTATAAATAAATGGGAAAGTTTTATAATTTAAATTATTTAAAATAAAAAAAAAATATATTTTTTTATATAATATATTATTATTAAGTCGAAAAATAAAAATTACATTAATAGTGACGGATTTTATTAAATATAAATATAAATTATTAAATCATGTATTTTTAATTAAAAAATAATAAATTAAATAAATAAAGTTATAATTAATATTATTATTATTAATAATAAAAAAATAAAATAATAATTTATAATTATATAAATAATTAAAATAAAAAATGCGAATATTTAATAAAATAATTTAAACCGTAAAGTTAATATTAATATTATAAGTTAATATTAAAAATGGGATTATTAATTATAAAGGTTTTTAAAATTTTATTATAAAAAAATATATTAATTATATTAAAAAATAAAAACGTAAAAAAAATAAATAATAATATAAAAGTTAAATATAAATAAAGTTACGGTAATTAAAAAAGGTTTTTTCCCGTATTAATTAAAATTAATTAAAAATAATTTATATAATATATTAAAAAAAATATTAATATATATTAACATTAATTTATAACGTTTTTTTATATTTTTAACATTATATTTTAATTAAAAAAACGGGTAATAATTAAATTTTTATTTAATAAAGTTATTATATAATAAATATATTTCGTAATGTTTTATTATTTTACACCGTTTATAATTTAACCGTATTAATTAATTAACATTTATAAATTATAATTATAATTATAAATAATAAATAAAATAACGTTTTTTAACGATAATTATTTATTTTTATTTATTATTTATATAATTTTTTATTTTTTAATAAAATGTTTAAATTTATAAATATTTAAGTTTATAAAAAATATTATGTCGTTTAAATTTTTATAAAGGGTTTATTTTATTTTTAATTTTCGAAGCGGATATAAACCTTTTTAAACCTTATATTAACGTAAATATATTCCGTTATTTTTCGTAATTTTTTACGTTTAATTAAGTAAATAATTTTTTTATTTATATTAAATTTATTATATTATTTTATTTGTAATAAAAAATTATTATTTATATATAAGTTAATTTATATAATAATATTATTATTTTATTAATATTAAAAATCCGTTATAAATTTAAATTTTTCGGTAATTTATTTACGTTTTATTTTTTTATTTTTTTTAATCGAATTTAATAAAATAAAACTTTTAAAATAAATTAACATATATTATTTTAATTATTTTAATTTTAATTTTTTTATTAATTTAAATATTTTTAATAATAAAAATATTTATTATAATGTTATATATTATATATATTATATTATAACCGGAAATATTTAAAAAAACGATTAAAAAAATATTAAAATTAAAGTTAATAAAAACGAAATTATAATATATATTAAAGGTTTTTTTTTTATTAATTATTAAATTAAAAATTATATTTAAGTTTTATTTAATAATATTTTACGAGTATTAAAATATTATTTTTATATTCCGTGTAATTATTATTATAATAAAAATAATTATAAAAAAAATAACTTATTTTATAAAAAATTTAATATATTTAATGTAAAAAGTTTCCATATAAAAAGTTTATATTTATAATATAAAGTTACGTTTTTATTTATTAATTAATATATTAATATAAATTTTTAAATTTATGAATTTTTTACGTTATTATTTCAAGCTTTAATTATTAATTATTTCTTTTAAAAATTTTTAAAATTTAATAAATTATTTATATTAAATTTAATTTTAATGTTTTTAATTTTTAAATTAATTCTTTAGTTTAATATAAGTATATAACGTTTACTTTTTTTACTTAATTAAATTAATTATTAAATAAAACCACATTTTTTTTATTACACGTTTTATTTTTAAATTTTTTTCGGGAAATTAACTTTTTTATATTTATTATTTATAATAAATTTTATTATTTTATAAATTAATTATATAATTTAAAAAAAGCTTACATTATTTTAAAATTTATTAAAAAATAATTTAAATTAAATTATATATGAAAATATTTAATATCTTTTTTTTTTTTTATATAATTAATAATTATAATAATAAATTATATTTTTATATAAATGTTTATTAATTTTTTAATTATAATTATTTTATATTAATGTTTAAATTTATATAAAGCGAGTATAAATTAATGATATATATATTTTATTTTTCGGTTAAATTATTTATTAATAATTTTTTTATTTTTTATAAATATTATAATTAAAAATGTTTATAATTAAAAATAATGTTTTTCGAATTTTTTTTACTTAATTTACGTAGTTTATTTTTTTTAATATTATTATTTTATTATTTAATAATAAAAGTTAAGTTTATTTTATTAAAGTTTTAAAAAAAAATAAAAACGGAAATTTTAAATAAGTTTTAAAAAAGTTAAAATTAAGTAAATTTTATAAATTTAAATTAAAATTAATTCTTATTAATAAAATAATTTTTAATTTTAAATAATTAAGATTTTAATTTAAATTATCCGGTGATTAAATAAATTTAAATTTAATTATTAATAATATTTATTTTAAATTATAACGATATTTTATACGAAAAAAATAATTTATTTTTAATAATAATAATATAATTTTATTTATAATAAATTTATTTTTTAAAACATTTTAACGATATTTAATTTAATAAAATTAATTAATTAAAAAAAATAAAAATTTATATTTATTAAATTTCGATTAAAATAATATAATATTTAATTATACGGATTTTAATAATAATAATAATTATTTTAAAAGTTATTTTCTTAAAAAATGTTTTTATTTTAATTTTATAATTAATAAAAAAATTATTAATTATTTTTTTAAATTTAATTATTTAAAATAATGCGATAATTTAAAATATATTATTTTTTTTATTATTAAAAAAAATTTCGTAATAAAGTTATTTATATTTATTTTAAATTTTAATAATAATAATAAAATATATATAATAAATAATAATAAATAATATATTTTAATAAAACGTTTATTTATATTTATTATAAACGTTAATAATTATAAATATAAAAATTTTTTTTATTATTATAATAAAATATTTTTATTTTATAATTAAAATATATAAATATATAATAAAAAATAATAATAATAAAAAAAAATATAAATTTAAAATAAAGTAAATAAAACGTTTTATAATATAATTAATAAATTAATTTTATAATTAAAAAATTAAAATAAATTTTTTATTTAATTATTTAATATATATCGTAATTTTAATAAAAAATAAATATATATTTTTAAATAAAATTAATATATTTTAAAAATAAATAAATATATATTTTTAAATAAAATAAATAAAAAATTATTTTTAATATATAATATTAAATTTAAATTATTTATTATTTAAATTTAATACGTTATAAATAATATAAATTAAAAAACGTTATAACTTTTTATAATTTATAATATTTTTTAATATTATAACCTTTATAAATAATAAAATATAATATTAATAATTAAAGCTTACTATGCATTTATACAGTATATATCGCAATACATAAAATGAATTAACGGGTTGGCGGATTCGGTACTATCGTCTGCCGTCGCATGGTTAGGTTCGAGCGTGCCATCTCTGATTGGTTAAAAGTATCATCGATAAGTATTTTCCGCTAAAACACTGTCTGACATTCAATTAACCCAGAAGATTGTAGAGCATAACATTGTTCGTACAGGTCCACTATGTCAACATGTTAGGTGCATACCTACTCTCTAGTCTCTAGCTGTCAATCAAGCGGTTCCAATGACATAATTATACCTCTTCAGCTACTCTTGACTACACCTCTTCTTTATAATGTCTCAAATTTTCAAAAGTTTCCTTTCCACAATTCAGTCTATAAAGAGATGCAACCATCGGCACTGTCCTCCAGGAAAATGCCGCCGTATATCTGGCCCTCATCTATGCCAGTCTCCTGGAAGCCCGAGTTCACGACGTCCGAGGTACCCGTCGGCTTCTTCAAGATGCCGATCTGGTACTGCCCCTCGCCGCTGTTGTCGTTGGTCAGCGCGTCGGTGACGGCCTCCAGAGGCTCGTCGTCTTTGGAGTAGTAGACTTGGAGGGTGCTACGGAGACTTAGTTTAGTATGCGATCCTTTTCGACTGGAAAAAGGGGGCAGGGGTGGACTCACTTCTTATCAAAGTCCAGAGTAATGGCGAAGTTTTGCCAGGCAGTCGGGTCGATAGGAGTCTCCCACACTTGGGTGTTCTGTCGGTTCAGAACCTTGAAGGTGTTCGGGTCGCTGTCGGACTTGCCGATGATGGTGCCGCTCTGGAAGTTGAACTGGTTGGCGCTGAAGTCGGCGGCTTCGTGCCAGACGTTCTAGATTTTTAGTCTTAAGGTCAGTGCACCTGATCACATATCCCTCTTTGCTCTCTCATATCCACCTCCAGTTTATGGAACCATATTCATACCAAGTACTCATGCGTCAAGTTCAAAGTCCGCTCGGCATCTTGCTTGACGCTGAAGTGCAAAGTCCTGACTCCCGTAGTCCCGGGGGAACCCTCGTTCGTGTCGCCCTGGATCTGCAAACCGGCGCGACGGAAGCCGTTCTGCGTCTGGAAGATGGACTGGTCGTTTATGGTGACCTCGACGGACTTCGTGGAGGCATTATCGAAGTGTGAGCTACCCGCGTCGGGAAATAGTAAGATTTCCGAAAACTTCTCGCTGCCTCGGACATAATCTGGATTGAATGGGCTCGTCGCGTACGAGTCAAAGTCTGTCGGCGTCTTGTCTACCGGGACAAATCCGCTGAGCACCACGGGACATTTGATCGCACCTGTACCGCGCTTTATGGAACGCGCGGATACCGCGGAGGCGAGGAGGGTGACGAGGAGGGTTGAGGATATCATCTTCACGTAAAATTACAATTTACAACTATTCGGAGGTTCTAAGATCTAGCACACCAAAGTATGGGAACTATGGCTCTTTTATATATGGACGCTTGGTTCGGTTGACTTGAGACCACATGATTGCGATGTAACCCGATGGCCCGGGCCATTAATTGCTAAGTTGGCGCCCACAAGGTACAATACGAAGGGTTCGCGGTGGCTTGGGATGAAGTCGCAGGGAGATCTCCCCCAGAATGGAGAACCACGTTCCGAGAAATCCATTTACAACCGAGGAATGCCATAAGGAAAAGATGGGATAAACCAGTGACACCATTCGGAACGACCCAGAGATCTCGCCGGACAATTAAGAACCGTCCTAATCCGGTAATCGTGCCCCTGGCTAAAACGAGACCCCTGGCTTGGCGCTGCGAAGCTAGAAATTATCTGGAGCATGTATCATCACGCCAGTGGTGATGCCCTTCGTCGAATAACTTGCGTGCGCATAAGGCTTGTCGTTGTTTGAGGCAATATCAAGGGGTAAGCTAATTCGCCCGCTACTCTAATCTTAGTCATCGTGGTCTATAGCTTCTAACAAGGACATTGAAGAGTATAAATGTATTACAAGGCATATCCTAGTTGGCTTTAAGAGGTTTTATTTTTCTAGATGCTAAACTGCCAATGCGCAATGGCCAGGTCTAGACTCGTGCTTCATCTTCCGAAAAATACGAGCGGGAACTCCTCATTTGTTCCAGCTGTTTACCTAATCCGTATGTCTCTTGCGTTTATATCCCAAGTAACTCAAAAGAGCATACCACCAGTCTCTTATGCGGTCCATGCAAGTCTTCGGCGACTGCTCAGTGTTTTTCGCATCCAGTTGCGCTGGCGTCGCTGAGTCAACCGAATTGGTGGCATATTCTCCCGAAGACATTGTACCGAGTTGGGACGGCGGTGTGCGTGGGTACGCGCCGACAATCGCGTCATTTGTAGAGCTAAGATTAGAGTCGTGTCGACTATGCTCGTTCGCCTCAGCCGCCGACATTTCTTCGTTCTGCTCGGCGTGCGGTACAGACGGGAACTGGGCTAAGATCTCGCCAACTCGGGATTGGTGTTCGCCATCGCGGCATGCTTTACTATTTCGTGCCGAGTGGGACTCTCCAGAGCTAGATGAGCTGCTGCTAGAAGATGAACTTGAGGAGCGGGAGCGAGCCATCTTCGTGAATCTCCGTATCTAGAACCTAGCTAGTGTTTATTCGTAAGGGGTGGTATCGCGGAGGTGGATTACATGGAGAATCTTTGTTAGGATACTTAGAATCTCGGAACGTTTTATAAGAAAATATTTCTAATGATATGCTACGCAAGAACTAGGTAGATGAGTGACGAGCATCTCGTCTCGTGTCTGACGCTCTCGTGTGCTGTACCACACGACGGTGATAAATGGCAAGCTTGGGCTAAAGGGACTGTATCCTCTGACTCGAAGATGACTCCCCATGAAAACCGACTCATCGATACTTGGCCACTTTCCAGATTTATTATACAGAGATTCAAGAGGGACTGTAACCCCTACAATCGGGATATGAAACTATTGGGGTAAAAAGTTGCTGCTGATTCATCTGTTGATGACTCTTAGTGCTCTATTCTAGTAGGCGAATTAAATCGAGTTTGAAAAACAATAACCACTATGAGTCTGAATCATAGTGTTACGTGCTCATCCACGTAGCACTGAAGGAGTTAGGAGCAAACTATGCGTTACCTTGTAACGGCATCCTCGAGTATCTTATTGACAGCGGCCCAGCATTTTTCCTTCAAATGTCCATATAGCCAGATATTTCCTTCTGCATCCTTCCCCATGACCACAAAGCTACTCACCAACATGGATTTCTGGAACGCGTGAATTTGGATATACGTTGGCTTGCCAGCCTTATGGTCACCTTCGCCTAGGCGTTGAGTTAGAGCTCCGGAGAAGTCCATGTCAAAGAGACCGGCTTTGGTCCAGTTACTGCATGTGATCCAATGCATCCACGGACTTCCAAATAAAGCGGCGCCGCCCTTATCTTGAGCAGTTCGAGCGAGGCTCATCGCCGCTTCCAGTTGATCCCTAGTGCTCAAATCCATGTATGACTGACGAACAGCTGCAGCAATCAAGCCCAGTGGCCTCGTTAAGATATCCTTAACTGTCATAAACGCAGGGGCAGAACAGAAAGCGTTGCCAACGTAAGCACGGCTTGATGGGAGAAGATCCTGACCCAAACGTCCCCTTAAGCCGTAAACGTTGTAGAGGCCGACTTCCTGATTTGATGGCTTAGGTATCAGAGCTAGAGCAAGTTGCTGAGCCCACCATGCACATATGATGTCCCCCTCGCTTATAAACGACACCTCGCCCTTAGTCTGCAAAGCCTTCAATTCCGATCGGGCTGTCTCGCACAGTTGCTGCGCATATGCTGCAGGCACGAAAATTGTTCGTCCACCATCTTCCGCCTTTGGATCCCAAAGCCTGTCCCAAGCATAGCGCAATCCTAAGATGATCACATGCCAAGTACCGAATTGCTTGTCGGCGTACTTGTACCTCTCTACAGGCTGCGAGCCAAGAGCACCTAAGGGATCGCTCTCGTAGCCATGGAATTCCGGCACTTCGTCATCACGGCCGTTGAGGACCAGTAACCATGCACGTAAGAATGCCGCATGTCCCACTTTCATGATGAACCTCGATTATTAGCAGTTTGAAAAAGAAGCTAAGAGATTAATGAACTGTGGGCAAAAAGCTGCTTACTTGTGTCAAATACCATGTGAGGCCACGAGATCGTCAATAATGTCGCATCAACGAACGTTATCATGCGAAATCCTAGTATTGGCCGATCGGAGTAGAGATAGTCTCCTATGCCCTTCGGGTCTCCTGGTTGCCACATGAGGTCTATCCAGTCTGCTTCATGACATTGGATGCGAGGCGTATCAGCGTTTGGGTCTCTTCGGAAACGTGAGGCTCGTGGATGTTCATTGATATTAATATCCAAAGCTTCGCAGTGGAAGGCGAATGGAACACGTTCTTCATCGAAGTAAGCGGGAATGTGGTAGTCGTAATTCCCATTTTTCTATCCTGTGTTAGTAAGCAAGAAAATAGGGGGCTTGAAGGAAGTACAACATTCAGCCTTATGCGAGCTCCTAATTTACGCCATCCCGGTCGGTCAAGGAGTTTGCTCAGGGATGTCTTCAGTTTCCCAGCATCAAGAACATCGTCGAATCGAAATAGGTCGAATATAACCATCGAACGGCCCGGACATGAATTATCCCAGAAATGAACCGGAATAACGGTATCTGAGGGCACCACCGGAGGTGCGGTTTGTCTCGTGCTGCTCCAAGATATACCCATAGCATGAATGTTGTGCCTCTTGATAGTAGCACATATTATCTCAGATATCCGATGGCGAACGGTGTTATATATGTAGTTCCCTTTGCCTGAGCCATAATTATCGGCTAGAGAACGACTATAACCATACCTACTCGCCGCTTGGAACAACTGAACGAATCCATATTTGGTCGTGCCATCATTTCATCATGGTTTACGATGTCCCGTTATGAATTGACCTAGATGACCCAAGCATTCGGTTCGACTAATGAGACCGACCCGAAATAAAATCGGACGGAACCTCCACCAGAGGTAACCTTATGGATACAGTTTCTGGGGGATGGTGGTCTAAGCGCCTTCTTTTCTCCACCTATATCGGACTTCGGACGTGTCGGAGACAGATAGTTTGTATTCCACGCGAAAGCTGCAGGTGGGGATTGCGACGTACCATTGCCAAGACTCATCGGTGTTGTTATGTACACCGAGCAAAGGTGAGGAGGGCATATGGAAGCCGGTAACGTCTATAAGATGGAATATATCATTAGATACCTAATAGAGCCAGTCGCCTTTCTTGTCCTTGACATGATGCATTTTGGCATCGTCTTGTGTCGCAGAGAAGGCACTCATGGCTAGGATCTTAGGAGCCCTGGAGATATTCCAGGCTGTCGGGAGAGGCGCTACAGCGTCTTTCAGGGGGCATTTCTTAATGAATAATTGGCGTACCTAGTTTCCGTTTATCGCACGGCAGATGCTATAAATAGGGGTTTAGGGGATAATCCCACTATGTTTGTATGGGAATGCCCTCCACTTCGAGCGCTAGTATTTTACATCAATTTTATCACTACATGCAGCCAACAAGTAGGTACCTTATCATCATTATTACTGCGGTCGTCTTTGGTGATGTTACATACCTAGGTATGTACATCCATTCCAAGGTACCTGTCCAGATGCTAGTAGATCACATCGCCAAAGCCGCTGAAGATCCCATATTACTAGGTTACCAAGATCGTGAAGTAAGCACGCCAGGCCCCGTAAGGCTGGAGTGCGCGTTACTGTTCCTTTAACCTCGGGAACCTCTGGACTGAGCTGGCTGGCGACAATTAAGGCTTTGTTGTTGACTTTCTGCGCCTACCTACGTTCTTTCCTACGATTTAGGATGTTCACTCCGACTTACACGTTGCGTTCTCATTAGAAGTAAACACCAATAGAGGCGACCGACTGGTTTAAAGAGTGTTCGATGGTCATCTATACCAGCACGATGATATTACGTCGCATTGACGGGTGGGGTGAACCGCACGACCGGTACTTAGCTCTACCAACAGCAAGATCTACGGGAGTAACGAAGGTCGTGGCTGAGGAAGAAGGCGACTCGATCAAGTTCTAGGAGATGAAAAGTAAATCGCCAACTAGATACATTTGATACACACCAAAAACGCCTAGCATATATCTACTGTATCATCTTAGTCTATCGCAGAATGGAAATTAAGTAGGCTATTGTGTAGATGTTTTCCCTACTATTTAAGTGTCTATTAGAAATATACGCTGTACCGAAATAGGGGTAAATGGATACCTACCTTTAATCTATCATATTCGCACCGAGTGTTTTTGACGTCTTTGTTTTTAACATACCGATCTTGTTGGATGCATCAAATGCGATTTCTCGATTAAAACATTAGGTACACATATCAAGGTCCTAAAACTCTCACTACCAATTTCCGTCCTTGAGGCTCGCCAGACTTGAGGATGTGGAGCCCATCGATGATTCCCTCCAAGCCGCCCTGTAGCTCTCGCAGTGGTGGCGTGATAATGTCTTTGGCATCAAGGAGCGTTTGCATCTCTTCAACCCGAAATGTTCCTATGTTGTGTAAGCTCAGTCTAGCTTTTGGTCGTAGACATTGTGTCCAAGGTTGACGTCCATCCCCTGCATTCAATACCCCATCACGATCTTAGTCCGTACCGCCCGTCTTATCCATAAACCACTTAGTTTTAATTCTCTGAACCTCGCGTACTATGACTAGGTAGGTAAACAAGGCTTTGGAGAAAAGAACTAGGTTATCTATGGGGCTTCTTAGGAGGTCTCTGTATATCTAAGTATCAGTATCCCCCCGCTCAAGTTTCCCTCAGTTTATGCATTCACTAACCTCCTGGGTATGGGTATATGTTGGAGCTAAATTCATGGCAATACTACTTGCCTCGAACACTTTGCTAGTTGGTTAAAGCATAGGGCTCTGTACCTGTTGTTGGGAGATGATAGTAAATATTAGTACAAGTATCTCCCCTTTGAGCAAAAAAGTTGTAGTATCACCTTGTTATTATAAGTTCCTGTTGTTATTTGCAATATGCTAACGATCTAAAAGCCCTCAAATAAATAATATTCTTCTAGTGGTATTTATGTACGATGTCTTCAATATCTAAGCCGTCACTTCACGAGCCCATCGCTATATTGGCAGTGCCTACCATTTTGTTGGCGGAATAAACAGTCCTTCAGACCTCTAAGAGCTTCTCCGAAACCCACGGGATGTCCGTAGTGAAATCTCTGAAGGGTTGGCTCAATGCGAAAAGGCTCTATCACTAATCACGCACATCATGGCCACAGCAATGTCCTGCATTCTTTCCTCATATGTGGTTCTCATTGATAACCTCTAATCATATTCGGATAATCTTCAGTTGAACTTGATCCGTGACGCTCGTGACTCATCGTCAGGGCTGCCAACGGTGCACTGCTGGCCAATGCGCCTGCGAAGTTGAACATATATACCCTAAGAAGGTGACTAATTCTCAACGAAAAATACGGCGGCTCACCAACTAAACCACCAAGTGGTCTGTTTGGTTGATGCCTCAGACACGACACTTACCCGAAAATGTCTCCCTGAAATGGGAGGTCTAGGGTTCGATTCCTGGGAGAACCAGGGCCTGAAAAGGTAGTCGCAAAGAAATATCCAAGATAGCTGGAGGCGCAGTAGCTCAGGAGCCATATACCTGAGTCTGGGCCCTGAGGACGATTACCCGATTTCGTCTTTTTGCCTTTCTTACTTGACATCTCTCACTTGCATTTTTCATTCTTTTTATAAATTCAAGATGCACGAACTCTGCATGCCGTCAACACCACGTCCCCTATTTACTTAAATACCTACTTAACCCTGATAAAGAATAGATAGAAAATGATACACAAGCTTTCGACGCCGAACTTTTGGGCATTTAACCCATTGAAGCTGCAGTTATGGACCCGCAGCAGCGAGAGTTGATGGAGACGGTTTATGGCCAACATACCCCGATCTAGCTCATCGCCAATTGCACCCTCTCAAGCCATCGTCATCACTGGTGCTGCTGACTGCTTGTGTGGGCACCTTATTAATCACATTCTAAATTGCACAACTACCGAGACGACACACTGCCTGGCCGTGCAGAAGCTCGAAGCCCGTCTTCGAAACGGGGAACCTTTAACAGGTCCTCGGATCAAATATCATCAGGGGGACCTTTCAAAGCACCTTCTCGGCCTTTCCAAGTAGCAAGTCAACTCTATCTTCACCTCAGCAGACGCTGTGGTCCTTGACGGCGCAGACGCCTCGCATATCAAAGTTTTTACAGACTTACGAGTCACCAAAGTCAGTCCCACCATCGCCCTAGCCCGTCTCTATCTTCCGTGTCGGATACCCTTGCACTATATATCCACCGCCGATGTCTCTCCATTTATGCCAAACTCGAGACTTTTCTCATGTCTCGGTGGTGGGACTGAGATTTGTGTATCCCCGGCAGACGCCTCCTTCGGGGATGCGTAATAACTTTTTACATTCGAACGTCTTGTGGTAGAGTACCTAATGCTACACTGAGCATCTAATTCAAAATGCGACTTAAAGGTGTATCTCCTAAGGTATTTATAATCATCTATATAAGACTGGGCTTTGTTATCTTCTGGATTTACCACCTACCTTTCTACCCAAGAAACTACGTCGCTCCGACTGTCTATACGAAAAGAAACAGAAACCTTCGAGTTGCTTAGTCCATTCACTACAAATAATAGAAATGTGTCCCGCATATCTACCTAGTTGTACTGATGTCTCAAGGAGGACTCTAGGTAGGTATTTTATGACAGTTCATGAAAGTCTCGAAAGATGAATCTTAAAGAAAATTGAAAGATTCCCAACTACCTTCATAGTGTACTAATATGTTGCCAATTAATTGGGGGTTAAAACGTAAGTCGATCCCGCTCCCGCCAAACTTGGGTTCTTGGGTCGAGATATCCATGCCATCCCAGCAGTCCAAGCACTGGCCCAATAGGTATCAAAAACGAATCAATCTCGTTTAACCATGGTCCATATCTGATTTTCAACTTAACTTTATGCGTCTCCTGTGCTGTGCGCGTTGTGTTCGTGTTTCGAGTAGGTATCAAAGTGATGTAAAGACGCAAGTGTTGGAAACCTTCAAAACATTTCAGTCCCCGAAGCTTTATTCCCAACCCCACGAATCAAAGCGAAGATGGGCGCCAAACGAACACGCAGTCAAGCAAACCTCGACAAGGAAGAGAATGTGCGGAAACAGACAAAGCTCTCCGGGCCACTCAATCTACAGTGATCCAGTTCACCCAGCACCTTCGAAGACAACGAAGTTGCCCCTCCACCAGCCAAGAAACCGAAAACTCGGAAGCCAGCCGCTAAGAAGGACCCTACACCGGAGAAGCTGTACAACGATGCCGCCAGAAAGGAAGCAGACAAGGCATTCTTCGCCGTAATGAAGCAATACGATCCCGCTTCCGGCGTAGTAAGTCTGTCCCCTCAACACCAGACCCTCCAGGACCAAACAACTCACGCATAAAACAGCTATCCGACCGCTTCTACGCCAAATTGGCATCATACATCCCCGAAGCAAAGAAGGTAACGGAAGCCTATATTACTTGTGGCATCGACCTCGTCTTAGCCCTCGGCGACCGCGAGGGCAGCAAGAAGGCCAGCGGGTACGATAGTCCTGGGGAGAACTTCCAAAGATTCGACGAGAAGTTCGTCGAGCTCATAAACTACCGCCTCGACCTCGCTAAGCTGGCCGCGGTGGTGCCCGTGGCGGGGTACGTGGTCGAGCCGCCGCACGAGGAGGTCGGCGTGGCGGAACGCGCGATGTGCGAAGGGTACAGGGAGCAGTGGAAGAAGAGGCGCCCGGATAAGCAGCAGTACGCGCAGCTAGACCGGGCGCGGCGGGACGACTTGAGGGATTTGGTTGAGACGAGGAGGGATAGGAGGGAGATGGCTGAGGATTGGGCGGGGAATACGTTGAAGGATTTGTTGGGGGCCGCGGTGAGGATTTATCAGTATGGGATTGGGGAACATTACTTTGCGAAGAGTATTGCCTTGTTGGCGGAAGTCAAGATGATTGAGCGGCCTCCGCTTCCGAAGCCGCCTCGTGAGTTGTGGGAGTCAGAATGGTAACCGCTGAGTGATGTGCTAAGGATCTATGGACTTGGTAAAGGGTTACTCAGTGTGGGGCGGTATAAAATCATCAGGGCAGACTTATGGAAGGCAGGTTTGGGAATTAATATCTACTCGGGTGGATATTTGAGGAATTATGGAAGGTTGAGCATACATGCGGATTATACAACTGACACCTAAGATTTGAACGCCAAACGGGAACACATTGTGAGGCGGTTACCATGTCCAAGTCCTAGCAAGCTCAATCTGCGCCAAATGAATCTTCTGGTCCTCCGGATCATCGAAATGTTTCTGAGCCTTAACCTTACCACCCTCATCTGGCTTGACGAAGTACTTCCCGTCTACTTCACATCGGGCGTAGCTATCCGGCAGCGTTCCATCATTCAAGAATGCCCTCACATGTTTGGCAAGACAGGTAGAAGGGATAGACACAGAGCAATGTCCGTATCCTTGCACCTCAACAATCTTGGAGTCGTTGAAGGCCGCGTTTGCGGAGCGCGCAGATTGCAGCGGGCATACGGGATCGTAAGATGTGGAGAGGATGAGTAACGGATGCGCAGTTTTGACGCCCATACGCGGGACATACCCATGGGTCTTCGGGATCTGCCACTGCTGCTTGATATAGTAGCTGCCATACTCAGTCGGAGCAAAAATGCTTTGATTCATGTACGGGATAAGGACGTCGAGCGCTGACTCCCTATCCTGCGGCCAGTGCGATGCACCAGACGCGCCGTCGTTATAAGTAATGAACTCGGTTGATTCACCAGCGATACCCCAGGGCTCACTTAATCCGTACGAGAGCAAGGCCTCCGTCGCATTGCCCTCGAGAACCTTGGCCAACCGTTCGGCTAGCGAATACCAGTTGGCTGGCTTATAGAGCGCGGGGAAGATGGCATTGTACCAGATCGTCTCATAGTCAACGGTGCCGTAGACGGTGTTGTTGACGTAGACGCTAAGCGGGCTATCTTTCAGCTGTTGAGCCAGTGAGGATAGCCTAGCTTTTAGCGAATCTTTCGACGTCTCCAGCGACGATAGGGCGCAATCCTTCCCAGCCTTAGTGCACTCTTCCAAAAAGCCTTCCAACACATTTTCGGTGTCGAAAAAGGTCTCGGTATCCAACAATCCCTCATACCAATCGAATTGATTTGCGACACCATCAATTATGACGCGCTCAGAGCGTTCGGGGAACATTGTCGCATAGGTCTGGCCTAGAATTGAACCGTAGCTGAACCCCCAGTACACCATCGTATCCTGCCCCACGGCATCGAGAATGCTGTTCATATCGGCAGCCGTCTGCGGCGTGTTGAGATACAGCGCATGCTCGCCCATGGTATCAGCGCACGCCCTGACAAAGTTGTGCGACCACGTATAGGCCTCATTACTATCCTCGATCACTTTAGTGTTCCGCACGCGTGATCGCTCACGGCGCGTCTCAGCATCGGGATAGCACTTGGCTTGCGGCTGCGAGCTGTTAATGCCCCTAGGATCAAAACTCAACAAATGGAACCCCTCGCCGACAATGTCGCGCAATAGCTCGCCTTTGCGATACAGAAATTCAATTCCACTGGCACCCGGCCCGCCGGGGTTGAGGAACAGGTTCCGAGTCGCGTTGGCGCCGCGTAAGCGGATCAGCGGGATGTTGAAGGTTTTGTTGTCAGAGTTCGTAGCGCTGAATTGATCCATCGGCACATCAATATTGCTACATTCCAGCGGGCGTCCTCCTAGTTTGCCACATTGTTCCCATGAGATCAGCTCACCGGGATAGGTGAGGCGCGTTGGGCGGTTGTCGTGATGAGGACACCGCGACGGGAGGGGCAATTTAGCCCTGAAAAGCGGGATTGAAATCAACAACGCCGCTGCGACAGCCCATTTCCAAAGCGCCGGGCGATGCCCCTGTAGTTGTAGAGGATTGCCTGCCTCGACGAAATTCTTCTTCTTCTCCATCCTGACTTCGTCTAGTGTGATGTGTGCTAGCCTGGTTGCTAAGGCTAACGGATGATGAGAGTAGTCTTATTCATATCGATACGTCTCTGAAAAGATGCACTGTAACGAGAGCCGGGGTAGCGACGCAAATGAAGCGCTATGCCGCGCTGCAGTCAGCATAACCCCTGACTCGCTAAGTTAAGGTTACAGTGGGAAGCAAGATCAGTCCATGATTACCAATATAAGTATTTACCTACCGGTTGCTTGACTTGTTGTCTCCAGAGTTGAGCTCGATATTCCTATTCGAATCGGGTCATGAAATGGATTGTAAATTGGTTTATAATCGAAAGGGAAAATATTATGTAAGAAAAGGTTGAAAAGGATAATGCCAACTTATGTAAGTGTTAGAGCAGCGTGCTTAATAAGCTTTATGCATTCATCGAGTTTTAGGTAATATTTGTTTATTAGGATATTATTATTACTTAATCATTTATATACGAGCTTAAATATAAGCTTACTTAAGCTTGCCGAAAATTTTATGCTTTAAATTTACGAAAGGTTATTATAACGTTAATTTTTTTTTTTTAAAAAATTTTTTAAAAAATTATTTAAATAAATAATTTTAAAATAATAATTTATTATTAAGTTTTAATTAATTAAAATTTTTAATTTAATAAAATATTAAATATATCCGGTTTAAATTCGATTTATATAATTTAAATTTTAATAAAATTTTAAAAAATTAATTAATTTAATTTAAAAAAATTTTAAAAAATTTTTTCGAATAAATTTTAATTAATTATAAAAAACGGAATAATAAATTTAAATTAATAAATTTTTAATAAATTATTTTATATAATTATTAATTAAATATATTATTTTTTTTAAAAAATTAAATTTAATAAATTTTTAATAAATTATTTTATATAATTATTAATTAAATATATATTTTTTTTTAATAAATTAATATTTTAAAAAATTAATATATATAAAAATAACGTTTAATTAATTAAAATTAATTAATTTATAATTAAATTTATAATTTAATTAAATAATTTTTAATTAATAATTAATTTATAATTTAAATAAAATATAATTAAATTTATAATTTAATTAAATTATAATTAATATAATTAATTATTTATAATATTAAAAATAAATTAATTAAAATTAATTAATTATATAATATAATAATATTAATTTTTAAATTAAATTAAATTTTTAATTTTTAAATTAAATTAAATTTTTAATTTTTAAATTAAATTAAGTTTTTAATTTTTAAATTAAATTAAATTTTTAATTTTTAAATTAAATTAAATTTTTAATTTAAAAATAATTAAATAAAACTTTTATATAAAAATAAATTTTTTATTTTAAAAATTTAAAACTTAAATTTATATAATTAATAAAACGATTAATTAAAACGTTAACGCGAAACAAGCGTAATTTAAATAATTAATATAAAAAAAAATAAAATTTTTAATAAATTAATTTTTATAAATTTAATTATATAAATTAATAAATATTTTAATTAATTATAATTTTAAAATAATAAAATTTAATTTAATAAATTCGTGGTAAATTATTTTACGTAATTATTAATTAAATATATAATTAAATTAAATAAAATTAATATTTTAAAAAAATAATTTATATAAATTTAATTTTTAATTAATTAAATTATAATTAAATTTATATTAAATTTTAAATTTATTTAAATTAAAATTAA